TGGCAGGAAGACAGATGAGGCAAAAGGAGCTGCATTTCAAAAGTGTTTCAAAAACTGTCATAAGTGGTTAGACAAAGTTTAATGTAAGATTGCAGTGGAGGAAAAACCAGCACTGAATAGCTGAGTGATTGATGACTCACTCAAGATTCAGTTAGGAAAAAAATCAGCTTTAAATAAACTTATAGCACTTGAGATAATCCAATACTGTACTGCTTCAGGTACAGAGGAAACATTGTGCAGAGTTCCAGTGTGGGATGAGACTGCTCTGAAAACTTGGTCACTGCTGGCAGTTCATTTGGGGTCAAACCCTACTGACCCAGATCATCATGGAGTTCATGTATTCCTGTTCCAGGATGTGGCTGAACAGTGTGTTGGCCATCTGCACAGTTGCTCTGAATGCAGCTTTTGTCTGATGGTTTCTTCTCAAGAACTTCATAAACCCTGCAGTAGATGAACTGGTGACTCGCAGTTCAGCACTGTGCCTGTCTCACAAACAATTGGGTTCCTTGGTCTGGGTTGGGTTTTAGGTCAGTATCATTCACTACTCTAAACAAAGAGCCTACAGGAGATTTCTCCTGACAGGGTGAGGATAGAACATGTGTAATACTCTAAAACGTTGTTAAAAATACCTGCATACTAAGTGTGAGGGCATTGGACAAAGAATAAGAAAAAATACCCGTTGAAAAGGACTACAGACAAAGTAGAAAGTATGGGTAAAATGTTGAGTTATTAGATGAAGTTATGAAGCTTGCAGAACTTGTTTAGACGTATACAGAATGCTTAGAGTCCTGTTGAGAACCAAATCAAGCTTGAGATCCATCTTCTTTATCTGGGACATTGTGGAACCAGGCTGTGATATATATCCAGATTCCTTCAGAAAGCCACACCAAAGCTTTTTTTCTACAGGATATAACCTTTTTTTTCTGTCCGGTGTAGTGGTGGTAGTAAAGTGCATTGGAATTAATGATAAGTTTAAATGCTGCACCACTTAATCCCAAGAGTGTCACTTCTAGGATGTAGGTTTTCGAATCTCACGTTTTCTTGCAGTGACTTTCAGAGAGCTGCCCTCAAGGTTTGTTGTCAAAAAGGCTGAAGGATTCCTGTGGTGCATCATGGAATCAGACGTGGAGTCTGCTAAACTTTGTGTGGAATTCAGAAATTCCTCACAAAACCTCACCGAGAGTATCTCAGCTTCAGGAATGTGTAACAGGGAAGGCACAGGTGGAAGTTTGCCATGGCAGTTTTGGGACATGAGAGATGGGGGACTCCAGTGAGGAGGAGGAGGCTGACTCATGAGCTGATGGCATCACTGAAACATGAAATCCTGCTGCACAGTTTTGGAGTTTGGGGTGTCTCTGCCTTTGCTGAATCCTAACAGAGACTGCTGCTGACTCATGCCTTTCAGTGGAGAGGTGGCTTTTATCTACCTTGTGGAAAACATGAGTTTACTCTTCCTGCATAAATTACTTTTTTATTTTTTTTTTTTTTTTTTCCCAGTGGAAAGGTTCCCTATTTGGTTAACTTTAAAACCTGAAAAAAAAAAAAAAATTAAAAATCAAAGAGCCTGTTTGCACTTACAGAAGACAAGTGGGTTGACTTGAAAGTGGATATTCTCATTTGGACTAGTTTAAATCTAATTTAAGCTTCCAGGGTCTACAAGTGTCACTGCCTCTTGAGATTAAATGCTCTAGGACTTTAACTGATTTGTCCAAGATCAAGTATGTTAGTCCAGACTTGCATTTCAGGTATATTTCTCATTTCAGGCTCAGTAAAGAGCTTCTTTAAATACAGTTTATAAATGGTAGGATAGTTTCACTGTGTAATGTGTTATAATCTGTGCTCTGGAACAGGTAATGCAAAATCCTGGATCAGTTTCTTCCACAGGTTACACAGAATTCTAAAACTTGACAGTTTGTGTAAAGGAGTATTGTGTGAACTAAATCTAAAAAGACCACCCAAACACAAGAAAACCCCAACAAGAGCTACTTATTTTCAAAGCTGCAGGAAACAGAGATGGAAACAATATTTTACTGCTTGTACTCTCCTCTACTGCCTTTTAAAAATTAGTGAATTCTAGAAGTAAAAGACATAATTTTTCTGCACAATAAATAACCCAATCATGCTTCTTCATATAAACATTCCAAGAAATTTTTTTTTTGGCTAAATTTACCAAAAATAACAATAGAAATGGTCAAACACATTTCTTTAACAAAATTATTGTTCTGGTTTGTGTTCCAAGGAAACTTTTGTTGTGCCCACACCTCTGTCTCTGAAATATTGAAATTTTTATAATTATGAGAGGTGTTGCCAGTATTCTGCAACCTCCCCACACCATTAATTCAAATAAAGAATTTGTGCATGCTGTAAGATCACACTGACTTTAATGAAAATTTCAGTGTGGGCCCATGCTGTATTCTTGGTTCAGAACAACAATAGTCTATAAAGAAGCTATGGGACAGTCCTTAGATTTTTTTAGCTTCTTAATGGCCAAATAATTTCCCATATCTTCATCTATGCACCTGTCCAGAGAAGCACTTAAACTGGTCAAGCAATCAAGTGGAGTGGAGAGGATTTTCATGCTCTTAATTTCATGTGTAATTAAGATGAAATTAGCCTTAGGTTGGGTTCTTTGAAAATGTCCTATAAGTAGAACAATAACCTGAGTGAACAGTAAAGTAATCAACACTTTTATGACAGTAAGTCAGCACCTACCTGCTGTGAAGCATTGTGGAGTTCTTGCCTTGCATCTGATGTTTTAAAAGCAAGAAACAAATATTTAAAATCTCTCACTGTGGATAGAATGGAAGTGAAAGAAAAATTCTTCAGACTTTTCCAATGATTTTACAATGTTTGGTAGAAGGAGAAAATGGGGGACAAGGTGGAGGGGAGTATAATTTGAAGGCATTTGGCTTTAGTTTGTCATTTTCTGCACGGTGTCTGCATGAGACACCTGGGACAGTTCTTCTGCATTCCATCTGCAATCTCAAGTGCCCAGAAGGCCTTTTATCCTCACCTTTAAAAGCAAACTCTGCCTTGATGTCTCTCATTCACAAAGACAGATGAAAATAGCTAAAGGGCAGTGAACTTGCTTTGGGTGATATACAGGGGAACCTGCTGTCAGTAATTATTACTTCAAATAATAATAGAAAAGGTAAAGCAGTCAACTTTGGGTGTGAACAAGTCCTGAATATTCACATCTGCTGGCTAAGGATAATTGGAACTGTGGGTCTCTGCACACAAATTGGGACAATTTGTGCTTGGAATAAATTTAGTACCAAATCTCTCATTGACTTCAGTTGTGTAGGATGCAAGTCTAAAGTGGCAAGTAGCCATGAACTAGGTTCAAAAAGGGAGCTTATATTAGGAATGTAGTTAAATAAAATAAAAAATAAGAAAAGTGGGATGGTCTTGTAGTTGTTCTTCCTGAATTTAGATATTTGTGCAAAAACTACAAAAATAATGGTGCAGATTGAGTCCTTTGGGTGTTTCTTACCCTTTCCTCTGGTTTTGTAATGAAGTGTTTAATGAACAGGTTCTGCTTCATTTGGTACTGAAATCCTTTGAAGTGATAGAGCACTCTACACATGATAAACAGTGATTGAATTATCCTGCTCTGTGTTTTTAAAATGTTTTAGTTCCTGTAAAGGGATCTGACCCTGCTCTTGACATTTTGGATTTGGTCAATATACTGTTCTGTTACAAAACCTGAAAGACACTTCCTTCCCCTCCAAATATGACTTTCATCTTCAATTTTTAAATACAATTTTTTTTTTCAGAGCTAATGGTACTATCCAACAAATTTTGGATGGCTTTATAAATAAAAATTGAACACATTATTTTAAATAATCTTGTTAAGGCACAAGTTTTTGCTTACATTAGCAGATGGGTTGGACTAAAGAATCATTTCAATCTGAAGGTTAAGCTCAATATCAGGGTTTTAAAAACTATGGAAAACTAGTCAATGAAAGAAAAGTAAATTGGTGAGTATTGCAAGGATCTAGTTGTTGTTCTGGATCTGAATACAGACCAATTAAAGTGATGTTATGCATGTTGACTCCATTTTGAGTCCAGTCACTGAAATAATCTCAGATGTCATGACTTTTTAGTACTTCTCTACCTGTGTTTTTGGTGTATCTAAAGGCAGTGAATTTCAAAATTCTGCAGTGAGGCCAGAAATTAATGTTCTTTGACTAGGAGTCTTTTTTTTCACCCCTACTGTTAATTTCCAGCCCCATCCAACAGTAACAGCCTTTCTCCTAAGAAAAATGTTAATTAAAATCAATGATGTCCTCAATTAAGTTGTCAGATTACTTGAAGCAAGTTTCTCAGTGTAGAAGAGGAGATGCTAATTAATACAATAAATTGTTTTAATTTCTGTCTCTTAAGCAAATCACCACACTGTTACCATTGTCACTGAGATGGGAATTACTGGCAAACCGTTGTTTGAACCCTATAAAACCTGCTAAATGAGCTCACTAAGAGACCTGATACTGAACAAAACTAAAGATTCATATTGTACTTTACAGCTTTTCCCTGGCAGTGTAAGAAGCCTAAACTCTTGTGCAGTGTCTCTTATTGGAAATTCTCAATGTTTTCAGCCCAACAGCCCCTCTGCATGTGCAGAAGCTTCATTTTCATGCATTTAGTTAGAGAAATAACAGAGAAAATGTATCTGCAGTCCTAAGAACTGTTTGTGCTAGAAGAAATTGCGGTGTGCAAATGTTTTTACCTGTGTTGAGCTAGAAATCCCCCTTTATTATCCCACTTTTGGTTTCCTGCCTGGCTTGGCAAACTTCCCTCAGCCAGTTAAAATTTCTGTGATAGGTGAGAACATCCTGGATGCTGCATGCACCAGATTTCTGCCTTTGGGGGTGCAACACGACTCTTCCTCTGCCTTTCAGATCAGTGAGGACAGTGCCCTGCTCGAAGTGGACCAGATGTTTCTGCTTAGCAAAGAGATTCTGCCCAAGCAGCAGGATTTGGATGGCAAAGCAGCCCTAGGTTCTGTGCTTCTGTACTACCATAATTGTCAATTAAGGAGATGCTGCTCTTCCATCATGGAACGCCAAGTAAAAACATGACTTCAACTAGGAAAGGTAAGAATTTGTGACTTTTGAGCTTGGGGGTTTTCCCTGAGGGGAGAAGGGACTGGGAGGTTGTTTGTTTTAAGCAAGAGGTCTGCCATGGCCGTGGGGAAAGAGCCTGATTTTGGACAGCTGCTGGATATGCAACTCAGGATATTACACAGTTAAAGAAAGTAATATCAACATCAAAATACAGTGCTGAGGTATTTCGGTCCAAATATTACTTGAAATGATTTATCTACTTCAGAACTTATAAATTAGGAAAGGGACATTTATATTAATCATGTGCCATTGAAGAACATAGATAAATTTGTGTGCAGCTTCTGTTGGTTTTAGTTGAAAAACATTTTTTAAAAAAATTAAATTAAATTTAAATTTTTTTTTTTTTTTTTTTCCCCTGAGTAAGGCCTCGTCTCTGGCCAGGTAATATATATGAGATTTGGGCAACACTTCACTCAGGTTCTACTAATGTATGTTAGTCTTAGATGCTGGAAGAGCTTCATCACTGAGGCTTGATGTAAGAAAACCGAAAGTGAATATTCTCTAGAAGCTGAAGACAACAAAGTGATAAATTTCTCACAGTCTCTCAATGGTTTAGTGTTCTGCCTGAGGGTTTCTGTGAGGTTTCTTTTGTTTGTTTTTTTGGTTTGTTTGGGATTTTTTGTCTTTTTTTTTTTTTTTTTATTTTACCCAGCAATTTGAAGAAGTGTTAAGGATTTTTGGTATTTATTTTTGCATTTCTCTGAAGAAAGGATAACAATATTTATATGTTTATGTAATCTTTGAATAACTATAGCTAGTATAAATGGAATCCCAAAGGCACATGGGGCTTAAAAAAATCTATGAAGGAACACTAAGCCCTGTACAGGTGTAGATTTTCTATGTGAAAAGTAATTTTGTTGAATTTCTTTACATTAGGAAAGGTGTTGTGCATGGCTGCCCCATCAATACTGCATTTAGGTTCTGCTCTGAGACTCCTTCACAGCCTTTTCCTTATGGCAATTTAAATTAAAAATAGAATCTGCTAGCCCCATCCAAAATGCTGCCTTTGCTTTGGCTGCCCAGGAGGAAAGAGAATAGAGCATATTCCTATTTTATCTTCTGATGGATTAGTTTATCCTTTTCTATAGTGATTTCCTTTTCTATAGTGATTTGCCTAGATGGAGCTAGGCAAATGGATAGACTTTTTCTTTGAACATCTAAAGCAACCAATAAAGGGTGAAATGATGCAAAGTTGTCCATTGTGTCTCAAAGAGTTTCCACCAAGGCTGGAATACACTGACCTGTGACCACTCTGTTCTGTGCAGTCTGAGGTGGTGGAGAAAATGAAGTCTGCCTTCAAAATCTAGAAACGCCAGTGTGAGAGGTGTGTACATCCCATTTCTTATCTGAAATTAAAATGTCATGCTTGCATCATTTGAAGGTGTTTAAATTCCATATTACTATATCTAGTAGGCAGCTGTGTGCTAATTACTGGGGGGCCTTAGGGATGCAGGCAGATGCCCCAGCACACCCCAGCTGTGTGTCAGCGACAAGGTCACTCACCAAGTGCTGCAGTTTGGTTTTGCCTGACTGATGGAACTGTGGACATGATTCAAAGGCAGCTATTATGGATAATTTTACCATTTGCTTATTTTAGCTGCTTCTCTTTCAAAATTTGCAACACAACAGTAAACTTCCAGTCATTCTGACTTCATTGCATGAATAATATCAATTATGGCATTACTGTGCTGACTAAGCACAGGTATGTGCACGGTGACTCTAATCTGGGCTGGATCTCACACATTTGGTATCCCTGAAGTGTTTGGAGGGTGGCCACTGATTCCACCAAATCACTCATGGGTTTCAGGCTTAGGTTTCTGATTTTCTTAGGTAGCAAAAGTGGACAAAACTGCATGACTAAATGAAGGGGCAGAATTATTATTGGCATTTCTGGCCACTAATTGAGAAAGAAGATGAGCAGATGGAGTTTAGTTTTTTTTTGTAACAGAGCCAGAACCTCTGTTACAAATGTTTTCACTCTGCTGGGATATATCTTCATTAATGGTTTAATTGGAATACTTAAAGATTCCACCTTTAACTACTAGCTGCATGAAATGGAATATTAGAAAGTAAAGTAAATACAGAGAAAGTGAAATTCTGAAGACAACTTTTAAAATTAAGAGGAACTCAGGGTGCTCAACATGTGTTTGCTGCCATAGCTTCCTGAAAAATGTAATCAAGACTGTGAGGTAACTCAGAGGGAAAGACAGTCTTATTTGGCCAAATTTACTGTTTCATAATTTTTTTGGCAGTTTGTGTAAAGTTAACTAGCAGTTTAATTTTTGGTAATATTTCATGCACTGATATAAGAAAAAAAAGTAAAGTGAAAGATGAGAAAATGAGTCTCCATTAGCTGTTTTCTCTTGGTGTTTTTATACTACTAAGCCCAAAAGATGGCATTTTTCTCTCCTATGTACTAAACCTAATACTTTCATAAGACAGAATTCAATGAGAATAATTGAAACATTTTTAGTAAAGACTGCTTTTAAGAAAAACAAAGATTTGAGTAAAAAAATGAAGACTTTGGATGCTTTGATCTTCTAAACTGCTAATGCTGCTCAGCTTCTAACTTCAGATATAAATGTAATCCAAAGTACATACTTGGGCTTATTCAGTCTTTCCATTTTGGATTGCATTTTGTGAATGTTGATCACAATAGTCTTACAGACATAGACATCCTTCATCTCATAAATTGCATTGTTTTGGGCAGTCCTTCCTGATACCACCAATGTTCTTGCTGATGGACTTTTAAAAATTTAAAATTTTCAGTTCTGTGTGTTAAGTGAAAATATAAGCATTCAGATTGGTAATTCAGTATGGAATCAAAATATCCAAGAGTGCCTGCTTCTGCAGTAGCAATGCTCTGAGATTTTACTCTCCAAATATGCTATTTTTGCTCACTTTTGATTTAATGAACTTTCATCTGCTTGGCCTAAACTTGTCTTTGTTTTGGAAAGTTCCATAACAATCATCCAGCTAACTCCATGACTTACTGCATAAGAATGTGAGGAAAAGTGTATTTTCTGCTCTTCAGAATATGTTGGCATCTTTTTTTGTGTTACATAAAACTAAAAGCCTCTCTTAAAGCTTCAGGCTCAGCAGGAGGCAGGAGTATGAGTAATCTTCACTTTGCCTTGTTTGAGGCAATTGGTTTTGAAATAACAAAGCCATGCAAACCTGACAATACCTGTTTGTGGGAGTCTGGCAATATGTTCATTTACTTGACATCAGAGAAAGAAGCACAAAAATGCTGTGAATTTTTCTTAAGTGCTGGAGAGAAACTGAAATATTTTTCTTTATGGAATTATTGACCATTTTAACTTATATAATCTCTTATTTTTTACTGTCTGCTTAAAAAGATATATGGAAATTTAAATAATGTAATATTTAATAATGTAATTTAGTCTACCTCAGGGCTAGGGAAGGATGAGATGATGTAACAAGTACTACAGGCAGTGAATTTCTCAGCCTGAGTTTGGGGTGGCTTCACAAGTAGGAGTACTGAAAATATGTTAATGTGGGTAGAAGTGATGTCTGTTAACCCCCTGCACTCATGTAATAATTCTTTCATTGGAAGCTGCTGTGAATTCAGTGAAACGAGACCTGATAAGGAGAGGTAATATCTTTCTTGTTCAGTAGGAGGGGAAAGATATCCCTCTAAATATTTCTGAATGTTGCTGGAAAAAAGAACTAGGTCAGTAGGAGCTCTATAGCATCTCATCCCATATAATTCTCTTTTACACATTTTGAAAAATCAGCTGAGCCATGGCATGAACTTCAGGATAAACCCAAAAGATTGGCTCATGTGGGCATGCAGATATTTCTTCTTTGCTGAGTCACATTCAGTCCTGGAATAACTAGAAAATGTTGCTGGACATTGACCAGCCATCATTAGGGAATGTTCCTAGCATCCATTATTAAATCTTTAATTATGAAGTACTTAGTGAACAGCACTCACCTCTAATAGTGTATAAAAGTAGAGGGCTTTTTTTTTTTTTGTTTACTTTCACTTAAAAGTTGCCATCTGGATCTCTCAGGGATGGTGAACTCATGCATTCTGAAGTTTTGATGAGGCACTTGCTGAGGATCTTTATATTATTGGCAATATACCTGAATGCAGAGAACACAGCATCTGCTTACAGAGTTAAAATTGTATCTGCCAGGCTTCAAGACAAGAAACAAAACCAGTAATGCTGGGAGATAACTGCATAATGTTGCATGACCATTCTCAGGCTTGCTGTGTATCTTTAGCAGGATAAGAATCATGGATCTTTTTGGTTTTTGATGTGTTATTCCTAAAAATGTGTTTTCTACTAAAAATTTGGCTTCCTAAGACAGATTTTCTGGTGCTTTTAATAGTATAATATTTGGCACTGCTGAATTGTTCTTTCTAGTGCCTTCTAATGCTTGTATTTCTAGAAGTTCAAACTTGTGGAGCTGGATCAGCAAGAGTAAGATGCAAAAAAAAAAGTGAACTTCAATGTCATAAATAGAAAATGATAAAGACCCTCTGCAAATTATTTTGTTTCTGCAGCGAAATAAGAGCAGAAACTCCTTCTAGTTGCCATAAACCTTGGTTTCACAGTTTTTGGGTTTTTGTTTCTGATTTTCCTCTCTCTGCATACAGAGAAATCTAGGTTTTTACTACAGAGACACAAAAATGCCTGCTAGGTTAAATTTAGTGCCACATGCAGCTTTTTATTCTTTTTCAAGTAATGTGCAGAACCAAATGTATTGAAAGTGGGCAGAAGTAGTTGTGCAAAGAGACTGGCTCAACATCTTACTCTTTGCTTGCTGTAATATCTTTGCTTCACAACAAGATTTTGACCAACACAAGTTATTTTTTAAAATGTAAATATGAAGAAAGGGATAAAAAGAGCTACTGAGAAAGACTGGAATTTACAATAGAGTTTACAGATTCAGCCAACATTACTACAATAAGAGTGTAAAGAAGACGTGTATAATTTCTGCTTCCTCTGCTATGCTTCCATCATGGTGCACAGAAATTGAATTGTGACACAAGCAGTCGAATAACAGCATGTCTGGACTGTGAACAATTGCCTATCTAGGCAAATCTGACTGCAAAGAAAGATGAATGATTCCTGGTAAAATGGGAAACTCAGTAATTCACAGGATAACCCAGTCGGAATAACTGAAAAGCTGAAAACCCTAAGGCAAAGCAAAAACCCAAAAGATGAACAACAAAGAAGTTCAGAGTAGGAAACAAAAAGAATGGCTTTAATTTTGATTATTCATCATCAGGCTTCAGTACCAGATATTATTTATTAATGCATGCTGCACTAGGTGGAGGATAAAGCCAATAGGGTAAAAAATGCCACATGAGGATTAGTCTCAATCATGTTTTCAAGATAATCTGGATCCAGCAGATCCTCCAGGTGGAGCATGTAGTGAAACTAGCTCAAAAGATGAAATCTGTTTGGCTGTCAAGCAAAAGATACTCTAACTATTGTTGAGCAGATAATATGTCATTATAATATTACATTATATGGTCATTACTTCAAAGACCTCTGGGGATTCTGCTGGTGTGTGTGTGTGCTGTTTCCTCTGGTCCCAACAAATGGAATTATCTTTATCTACTAGTGGTTACCCAACCAGATTTTTGCAGTTGTTTGTGCAGTGCTATCCTGGAATGATGAAATAGCCATCAGTTATTTACATAGAATCACAGAACCACACTACCTTTTTTTGCTGTCTGTAAATTGCAAGGAAGAGCTATAAAGAAAGTTATCACAGCTTAATTTTTGGAAGTTTTATTTAAGTGCTATCCTATAGATGGCAATATAGTGTAAAACTTAATTAAAAATCTTACTGAAAGAGATCCAGTGTCTGTTAAAAAGGAGAAATATTTTTTTACTTTAACATGGTCTCCTTGTTTATAACATTTGAGAATAATTGATTATTTGAAATAGGGTAGTCTTTATACATTAAAATGAGAAATTTGTGAAGTACAATAATGTTTTTTTTTTTAAAATCTATGAAATATATTTCTTTCCATGATCTAAAACAAGTAAAATCTCTTTTTTTCCCACTAGACCCATATAGCTTCTAAAAATATGCATTAGGACAAAAATTACACCAAAGCTGGACATATCTGATATCTAGTTCTGATAAAACTGGAGGCCCTGATGACTTCTAAAGTAGATTCCTGATAGAAATCAGTGTGGAAGTGATAATTGTAGTGAGTAAAGACAAGCCATTCCTGAGCACTCTGAAAGCTCAGTTTTGGGGGGGTAGGACAGAGGCTCTGGGAATCCATTTGATCCATGCCAGAAGCTTTGAATACACTTCTAGAAGTCTAAATGG